ATAAAAGCCCCATTTACTGGGGACCTACTATGTGCCGGGCACTGTGCCAGGTAGAAGAGCAATAAAAGCCCCATTTACTGGGGACCTACTATGTGCCGGGCACTGTGCCAGGTAGAAGAGCTATAAAAGCCCCATTTACTGGGGACCTACTATGCACCGGCATGGTGCTAAGGGCTCCAGAGAATAACAGTAAATGTACTTATTAAACACCTACTGTGTGCCATAGCACCAGGAATAGAATGACAGTAAATGTACTCATTTATTGAACACCTACTGTGTGCCAGGTAATGTGCCAAGTGGAATAGCAATAAAAGCACCATTTATTGGGCACCTACTATGTGCCAGGCATGGTGCCAAGGGCTTCATAGACTAACAGTTAAAAAAAAATCGATTTATTGAAGCCCTACTATGTGCCAAGCACCATGTCAAGGGTTTCCTAGAGTAATAGTAAAATACTTAGGTATTGTACACCTACTGGGTGCTAGGCACTGTGCCAGAGGAATAGCCAAAGCTCCATTTATTTGGCACCTGCTGTGTGCCAGGCACAGCACCAGGGATAGAATAACAGTAAACACACTAATTTACTGAATGCCTACTGTGTGCCAGGGACTATGCCAGGTAATAACAAAAAAAGCCCCATTTATTGGGCACCTACTGTGTGCTAGGCACAGCAGTCAGAGCTTCATAGGATAACAGTAAACACATTTATTTACTCAGCACCTACTGTGTGCTGGGGAATAGCAGTAAAAGCCCCACTTATTGGGCACCTACTGTGTGCTAGGCATGGCTAGAGCTTCAGAGGTCAACAGTAGGAGCATCTCTTTACTGCACACCTGTCCCTGCACACCAGGGACCCAGGAGGCTGCCTGATGGCGTACTCCAACCAGGACCACCCTCATGGCCTCCCTTGCAAAGGAAATAATACCCATGTCTTGAGTGCCTACTGTGTGCCAGTTAGCATGCCAAGGGCTGTAGAGAGTAATAATAAAAGTGCCTGTTGATTGGACACCCACTGTGTTGGTACCAGGCTCAGGGCTTTACAGATAACACAGCCCATGTTTTGCACCTACTGTGTAACAAGATCTTTAGAGATCACAGTTCTTCTGTTCTGAGCCCCTACTGTGCACCTGACACCACACAGCCCATTGCAGATCAATGGCGTCTCACTTATGGAGCACCTATTATGGGCTGGGCATCGTAATAGCCCTCTAAAGATCAAAATAGCAGTTGCCTTTATGCAGCACCTACTGTGTGCCAGGCATTCTGTTAAGGACTTTATCAGGTAACAGTACTAGTCTTCACATAGTAAGCACCTACTGTGTGCCAGGCACAGTGCTAAGGACATTATCACGTAACAGTAATAGTCCCCACATAGTAAGCACCTACTGTGTGCCAGGCACCATGCTAAGGACTTTGTCATGTAACAGTAATAGTCCCCACCTAGTAAGCACCTACTGTGTGCCAGGCACCGTGCTAAAGACTATCACTTAACAGTAATAGTCCCCGCGTAGTAAGCACCTACTGTGTGCCAGGCACCGTGCTAAGGACTTTATCATGTAACAGTACTAGTCCATGCATAGTAAGCACCTACTGTGTGCCAGGC